AAAAAATCTGGTGTGTCCACTCACACTACTTTCCTACCTATTTCAGAAAAGTTTTTATATCTTTACATACGTCCATTAAGAAACAAAAAAAAAAAATGAATTAGATTTATTTTCCTTTAAATAAAATTGATTGAATAAAAATGAAAATTGATCTAAGAAATGATTTGAGTACGATTTATTTGATAAACTAAAGCAATGTTAACCGGCTTTAGGTAGATCAGTGTAAAAATTGTAATACCCTCTAATATTGCTGATCAACCACTTTTTGCTATAGCGTAATTTTGTCAACCAATAATTTCTGTTAAAAGTAGCGGAAATAGTGAAGCTTATGTGATGCAAGCAACAAATTTTCTTACTTTCACTTAGTCTTTTCTCTCATTCATCCCTTTTTGACACTAGAGTATAAACTCGTAATATTACATTAGAAATTGAATAGCTTCGACCAATGGCTAAAAATGTGTTTTCCAGACTCAGGGGGCTTTAGATCTGTCAGAAAACCACATATTGGAAATTTAGTCCGATCGCAATACTTTCCTTACCTAGCATAGGTAAGAAAGTAATAAATCAAAATATGTGTAGAAAATAGAATAGGCTGTATCACCGCTAATACTGGTTCGATTCCGTTGATTTTTGTTTTCTTTTATTGTTAATTTAATTACATTTCAAAAGTTTTATTATACATTTTTCCATAGAATATATACTTAGCGAGTTAGTCCCTAAAGCATTTTTATTTTCTTTATAACTATTTTTCCTAAATTTTCTCGAGAATTTAGTTTATGTACGAAAACTGAAAGAACAATTATTAGATCATTATAGGAAAGTTTCATCAAAATCGTTACCGCAGTTTTCGCGCTACAGTCAATGGAAAAACATGTTTTTTCATGTATTGCATAGTAGATATTGCGCATGGAGCACCCAATTTGTGTCGCAGGCATCAGTAGTCAAAACTCAAAAAAATAAAAAAGGAAGCAACAAAATTGGCCCACTAGTTCCCGAGAAAATCTTGGCACAGAGAGACCAATGGCTAAAAATGTGTTTTTCGGTCTCGGGGGCTCTGAAACGTATAGATCCATCGAAAACCGCATATCAGAAATTTTATCCAATCGCAATACTTTCCAATTTTATCCAAGCATATACTCAGTGAAACTTCATTCAATAATTCATTTTCCTATCATCACTAAGCAACCACCACCAAATTGTCAATACTACAATAGCTCTCTCACTATAGCCCACTCAAAATTTATTTCATTAGTCCCCAACTCTGTTGCCGTTATTATTTATTTCATAAGTTACTCTCTATTACTGTTATTAGTTACTTCATACCTTTTACTGTAATTTTTTTTTCATATGTTACTTGGATTATTATTATAAATATTATTTATTTATTTTTCATAAGTTAATAGTTTCTTATATTGTTATCTGGTCGTTTCTTAGCCTTGATAAAGGCCTGAACAAATATTTATTTATTTTTAATTTCTTAATTTTTGACTGAACACCCCAGCCAACTTCTATTCGATCATTCACTACAGTCAACCATCATACCACTATAAAAAAAAGTTTTTTTTTTAATAGTGGCACTTTGTGTGGTGGAATTTATTAGAAACTTGGATTTTTGAACTATTTATCAACCCATATAACATATCAAACAATCATAACTTCCCTGATTTTGGTACCATTCATGGCAATTCGACTGAAGCACAGACGAATCTATGGAGCTGGGAGGAAATGGAAATAAAAAATGTAACCATGTTTTATGGAAAAACATATCTCTAAAAGTATTATTGTCCGTCTAATTACGTTTAATAGGACTTAAGAATCACTTAAACACCATCTCATACAGGTAGTTAGTTTCTTTATTTCTTCCGAAGTAATTATCATAATATGTGTATATATATACACAAAAAAAAAGTCTTTCGGGCTGAAGCCTCCCTCCAAAATTAAATCCTAGATCCGTTAGTGGACTGAAGTACTTTCTTGTACTACAATACATTGTGGTTTAATAATTGTATGTCTTATAGTTTTAATTACGCCATTTCTGGTTCTCCATATGTACACCCTCGCTTAACATTCCCATTGGGGATAATATACTGGCTTTTAACATTGCACCCCTAGGAATCCCCAGCGATGGTTAGGTGGGGGAGGGGCCCAGGTGTGGTCAGGTGATCATATTGATTAGGCCACGCCCACCGAGTTTCTTGCGCACCCTCTGCTAGAGCATCCCAAGGGCTCTCTATTTATAAAATGTCTAATCATTCTAAATTTGAAAGATGGTTAAATTATCGATTATATGATTATCAAAATAATTCTTCAGAAAGTTTCATAATGGAAATATCTTGAAATATTCATTCTTGGAACATTTCAACAGCTAACCCATCTTGAGTGGCTTTTGAAGCATTGCATGTTTTGATATTAACAGAACCTTAAAATTTCGGGAAATTTAATCGATGCCAATAGTAATATACATGAATAACAAACAACAGTGTTTTAAAAATTATCATGATACCGAAACATCACAATAAACAGAAACTAAGGACTTCTTAGCATGTTCTCCAACTGATTTAAAAATCGGGCTACACGAGTTCACTAAATATTGTTGGAATAAGTGACCTTCAACAACATTTGATCAAGCGTCGACGGGGATTTAATTTTTTCGAATCGAATTACAAAAAGACACACAAAACTTTCACTTACCGATCTGGCAACATTGGTCAATTACAAAAAGGTTTTAAGTGTACTATAAATGGAGCAAAATCTTAAAGAACACATTTGTGAATTCCAGTCAAAAACCCATTAAGACAAATCCTATTGTATCAATGGTCAGTAATAAAAACCTCATAATCCCATCAGTCTATTTGAATTTCACAACTCTAGTCTTTGAGCTTTATAAACAAAGAGAGATTTGAACGTACATTTATTTAAACTATGAATAAGTAAGAATTGAACTACATTATGAAATAAAAATATAAGAACTAAATTTCTTTAATTTTTTACATATATTTAAACTCGAATTTTTACTTTTACCTAACTATATATGTAAATATAGCAAGATAAAGAATTGCGATCATAAATTTTCAGATTTGAATTTCCCACGGGAATACACGTTTTGAGGCCCCCGTGGGTAAAATCGATACTGTAAAGCGGCACTTTCGCCAAGCCGATTTTCAGGCCAATCATACATCTATCTTAAATACGCAATCAGGCTACACCTCGATTATAATAAATGCTACTGGATGTTAATGCTAATGATGCCCTAAACTGCAGAAAGGAACGTTTTGCTGTCTCCATTGGACGATTAGGGATAATGTCATCCCTGGATTTGAGAAAATAAGAGTTCTTGGAGTGATGGTCGATGGCTCGTTGTCATGGCGCGGTCATGCCAGTATTTAAGTGAGCCGGGTATGCGGTGTTATTCATTTGCCGACTAAATTAAGAAGAAAATAGCCTATGCACTAATCCTTCCTCTGGTGTGGTATAGTGATAGTCAGCCTATATCGGTATATCGGAATCGGAAGCCGCAAATTCAGAAGGCTCTCACAGCTATCCATTTCATATTATACACAAAAAGGTAAAACCATACCACTCCATGCATAAGTACGTTAGGCTGGTTTCAAACTAAAGGCTTTTTCTTGATGTCCTCGCAAGAAAAATACTGAACTCAGGGGGTCCTCAAGAGCTAACGAGAGAATATGAAGATACATAATGAAAGGTTGTAGGGGGTATTCTGTCTGCTAGAATCGAGATTTTGAGGAAAGCTTTCCATGCAGCAGCAGCGAGAGGGCTCAACCAGCTTCCGGTAGAGGTGAGATTGGCTTCCTTTTTCCACAAGGCTTGTCTTAAGCAATTCCTCGCCGCCAGGGATGCCCATCCTCCGCAAAGTCGATAGAGGATCAACCTACTCTTCTTTCTCCCATGGTATTTTATTGCTCTCATCTTAAAAACAGTGCAAGCTAAAGTAGAATTTAGAAAGGAATAGGTCATATGTAATGACACTTTCAGAAGTATGTTTTTTCCTTTCCTCCTGTTCTCTGCTTTTCATTTCGAAAATCCATAACCCCGTCGATATGTGATCCTCTCAAAAATTCAAAACCCCATCAAAATGTACCCCTCTCAAATAATTTTAATGGAGCAGACTCCGCTATGAAACCGCCTTCTGGTCACCCCAGCTCACAGGGAATAGGTCCAGGGTACCATAAAGATTTCAAAGTCTTTAACAACTTTCTATTACTCTCTTCCCTACTTGCACTTCATATTTTACTTTATTTATTTTGTTTGAATGTTTCTGGTTCTCATCTCTTTAGTATCACCTGTAAACTGTATTTGTTTTCTGTTTCTTTCTGCATATTATCTTAGACATTTATTAACTAACATCAAAATTAACCTGTTAATTCTATTATAAATAGACAATATTGTATTTTGTAATATAAATTGTCAAGCTAAAAATGTAATCATTATTGTACTTTTGTCTGCAACACAGGGGATCTATGGGGGGAGGGAAAGGAGAGGGCTGAAGCATTTCTTCCTCCTCCAATATGGTAAAATACAATCATGTTTTATAGAAAAAAATATTAAAACCATCTCTTAAACTATTATTGTTCGTGTAATTACATTTAATAGGACTTCAAGAATCACTAGGGTGTCATATGGGTAGTTAATTTCTTTCTTTTTTTTTCAAATTAATTATTGTTACATGTATGAAAAAAAAATCCTTGGGGCTGAAGCCTTCCCCAAAATTAAATCCTGGATCCGCTAGTGGTCTGTAAGAATGGGTCTTAGGGCCCAAGACAATAAGGAATCGATTAATCAATCTCATAGTATTTACATGTTTTTAATTAATCAAAAGATATATATGTTTATCATCTTCAATAACTTTTATTCTTAAATTTACATAGATATTTGAATCCATAAGTGTAGAACTATTTATTTAATTAATTTTCACTTACTGACTTAAACACCCTTATCAATATTCAAAGTTAGTTAAGTGAAAACTGATAGAACATAATATGAATATCTGTATAGGCCTGGTAGTGCTGTTCTTTGCGAATACTGTCCTGGGCACATATACACATCAAAGGAGCCATGCTTTGGATGCATTCTATGACAACTGTGATAGATATGACAACGATTACATGGGGCTGCAGGTCTGTGGGGACGATGGCCATACCTACAGGAATGCAATACACCTTAGCTGCCTCAATTACAAGCTAAAGAAACATCCAAGTAAGTGGGAAATTACATATTATTTAAATAGTAAGTAAAAAATAAATAAAATAAAACAAGAAAAACATTTAATATTTTCTTATCCAGAAAGAAAAAAACATTATTATACAAATTAGTATTACTTTAACTCAGAGACTAAAGCTAGATCCCTGTAACTTTCACTTCATATTCTACAAAATATTCAATGAATCACATTTTGATTTTAAAATACCAGAAATTACCTAAATATTTAATTATAATAATTATACTCTATATTTTATTAGTAAAACATCCAAGTTTGTCTATACCACTTTCTCAATGTATATCCCTATTTCCCCTGAGTCTTTACATGATTACAAAGAAATATTTAATTGTCACAGTATACATTCATTTTTATATAATGAATTCTGTCAATCTGAATATGTGTATTTTAAAAGGAATAAACAGGATACCTATCTAGGTGCCTGATCTGTTACCAATAATTGGGAATTGTGAATTAACATTTTTATAAACAACATATCTTTATTACGCTTCAATTATGCAACCAAAAACTTATTCAATTAAAGAGCTCTGCATGCTGCGATTATTATTTTGTGTCTAGTCAGCAAATTTAGTCTTATAACTACAAAAAAACTAAAGACTTGTGGTCGATAGAATAAATTGGCTCATTTTGAAGAATAATAAATTTTCTAAGAGCATTAAGTCCTACATTTGACAAGGATTTTGTTTTTTATCAACCTTCAAATTACAATTTTTTTAAACATTTTTCATGCAGGGATGCTCACCTATTTTTGCCATAAGTATTGGAAAATTGTTAAATTCTTTGTCAGTTTAATTTATTTCAGTTCTTCAAATTATTGGTTGAAAACTGAAGTTACCCCCTTCCTTTTCGGTAACTATCAACCCAATGTTTATAGAGATAAATATTTTCTTTAAATTATCTTTAAACTTTTCCATCCTTTTCTAAGGTTGCAACTTATGAGTACCAGATCATTCTGAGTAACAGGATACCCACTACCACAAAAATAAATAGGTGCAACAGAATAAAAATAAGTTTTCTTCTTCAATAAGCTGACTTTCCTTGTTTGATTATTTGAGTGCCCGTGCTTGGGCTTGTAGGTCATGGTCTTCCAAAGTATTCAGCCTGCCTCTGCCTAATCTCTTTGCCCTATTTTGGTCAAGGTATTTTTTCAAATTTTAACAGCTTTGACAGAATAGGAATAGAAAAATGTATGAATAACCTCTTAGAATTTCCCTAACTATTAATTGATTTTACTGAATAACTTGTAAATTTTATTTTGATATGACACTGTTTAAATTAAATGGTGGGTATTTACCATCAACCGACACCAAAGAGGCTGCAAAATTAACAGAGCAAAAGCTAGCTTAAAATTACTTCCTTAAAAACAAAACAGAACCTTTTACTTTCAAATAAAACTTTTTCCATCCCTGGGGCAAAACCAAACCATTTTACAGACTTTTTTTATGGTAATGAATCTCCGAACAGATATAGTCAGTAATTACTAAATAAGAAAATGTGAACATTAACTATAAAAACATTGTTTTTGTTTGAGCTAGTAGTAGGTTTGATGCTGTAAGATTGCATAGTTATCTGTAATACAAAAATATAAATTCTTGAAAACAATTTCATGTTACTCAACAGAAAATCCCTGTGTGTATTTATAGCATTAAACAATTAATTAGTTTATTTAAAAATTAATCAAAGATATTTCTTATTTGATCTCCTAACCAAATTTGATTTTACAGTTGTAAAAATGATGTACTTCGGATGCTGTCCTGGATATAAAGACAAGAGTGGTTGCCCATGGAAACCTATGTATGAACCTGTGTGTGGCTCTGATGGGAAAACATATGTCAATGAGGAGTGGCTGATGTGTTCATGCAATCGAACAGGAGAAGGTATTTAATAAAATCATGAACTATACACACACACAAACATTTATATATATATAAACTGACAGACCGAAAATTCCACCCACTTGATTTTTTCATATTTTCATCTAAAAATATTTCTGCTTTGGATTGGTTTATTGTTTTAATGAATAAATAGGTAATCTTTTTGTTTATTTTCAATTAGGAATGTTAATATGGAGGACAATAACCCTTAATCCTTAATTGAATGAAATGATTCTAGATTCCAATGTTTGCTTTCTATGGAATCAAAATGTTTATTCAGTATCATTAGTTCAGTGCCGTTTCTTGCAGCACATTTTTTAGTCTCTGGCTTTTAATTTTTTCAATATTAAGTTTAAAAATGCCTCTTAGTATATCTTTGCTGGAGGATAGCCCATTCCTCCCAAAGAGCCCTTTCAATGTACTGTTGCACGCGCTCTTATTCGTCTTCCGAGGTTATCCTATAAATACTCAATGGGGTTCAAATCTGAATAATGTGCTGGCCAGGCTAAAACCTCAATATTGTTCTGTTAAAGGAATGTCTGCACTATGCGGGCGACATGTGGGCGTGCATTATCGTGCATTAGAATAGAACGATCGTCGATTTCGTTGAGGATAGGCAACACCTGAGGTTCCAAAATCTCATCTACATAGCGAAAGACCCTCCACAAACAACAACCAATTCTGTGCAGCGCTCCATTGAAATCCCAGCCCACACCACTAAGGAACCACGTGGAAAGGTTGGCTCTGGGAAAAATTACAGGCTGCATATCTTTCGTTTCTTCTTCTCCACACGCTTTCACGCCCATCTGGAGATCGAAGAGCGAATCTTGACTCATCAGTAAAAAATACAACACTCCATTCATCCATAGTCCAATGGCTGTGTACTCGAGCATAAGCCAGCCGTGTTACTCTGTGAGTTCTGGTCAACTCTGGTCCTCTTACTGGACGAAAAGCCATTAATCCATACTCATTTAATCTTCTCCGAGCGGTACGTTCAGAAATTTACACACCTCGAACTTCTTCAACCTGATGAATCGCTTGAACAATGGTAAGGTGTCGGTTTTGTAAAATTCTCAAAGTCAAAAAACCAGTCATCCCGCGGTTCTGTTACCCTAGGCCGTCCAGAACCGGGCCTTCTATTGTAAGAACCAGTTTCCCGAAAACGCCTGACGGCGTCTCATAAAGTTTCATATGGAACTCCGATGGCATTAGCTGCATATCTAATGGAACGTCCATCATCAATAAGTGCCACACCATGCGCAACATCCTCAGCACTAAGAGGCATTTTTAAACTTAATATTGAAAAAAATTAAAAGCTGGAGACTAAGAAATGTGCTGCAAGAAACGGTACTAAACTAATGATACTGAATAAACATTTTGATTCCATAGAAAGTAAACATTGGAATCTAGAATCATTTCATTGAATTAAAGATTAATGGTTATTGTCCTCTATATTAACATTCCTAATTGAAATCAAATAAAAAGATTATCTATTTATTCATTAAAAACAATAGACATTTATAGTGTCAGTATAGTTATTATTTTAAGAAAATTGCAGAATAATGTGTTTTCGTTATATTTTATCTGCAACATATAATTTCTATAGATATAATATCAAAAATAACACAATTTTTAAAGAATTTAAGGTGAATTTAAATTGTAGAATTTTATATGCACAAACATTTGTTTTCTAATAAGTATTAATTTTTGTTTATTTAGTGCATCATTTCCTGCTTTGCAGTAAAATTAATAAATTATAGTAGTTTTGCTCTATGTTGATGGTGTTAATAAAGATCTTCCATTCAAAATGTTGAACGTTTTGGTGCATCAATTCCACACTTTCCATATAAAGAAATCCTTCCTTCGTTCCCAGAGTGACCTCAGAATTCTTCTGTACATCCTCTATCTTATTACCTTTCAAGATATTTCAAAATTAAAATGAGCTTGACCCAGTTCCATCTTCCACCCATATACAAAATTATTTAGTCCATGTAGTTATTCTCAGCCACCAGCTTAGGAAAATCATTCTGTAAGAGGGAAAAGAGTCAGTAATCTGGCTCTTATTTGCATTTAAATAATGAATGATACTGTAATATATTTAAATCATATATATAAAATTCAATAAACAGCTGCCTTTCTCTAATGTATTCAAGACTTTAAGAGGCCTAAGACAGATGAAGCACTGGCACTTCTATCATTCATGTGTAATTATTTAAAAGTCAAATAATTATAGTAACACAATTAAAACAGACAATTACAACTGATAGGCTATGCAGATGATTTATACATAATCACTCGTTCCTTCTCTATATTAAAAGAAGCATTTGCACCACTGATGGAGGCCACAGAGCAGATCTTGAACATCCTTAAGTGGAGGGAAACTGCCAGTAAATAGAGCCACCTAGTGAAGGTTACTTAAAGAGACTAAAACCTACACAGCGTTGTAATACATTTTGTTATAAAATATGATATTTCTGTTATGATAGAGATCAAATTAAGTATTTTTCATTCTAGAATCTTATAATGTTTAATAGTTTAAATATATGTTAATGATATAATAAGGAATGATATTGTAACACATTTTATAGAAGTAACTGTGGAATCGAAAGGAGAATGTCAAGAAGTTGATCCTTGCTCCAAGGATGAAAATAAAAGTCATGGGCCCAAGGTGTGTGCCTCAAATGGCATAACTTATCCGAATGCCCAAGCTGTTAGATGTCTTACTAAGCACAAATCAGGTAATGGAATATTATTATATGTAGTAGAATATAATATAATATATTATATGTAGCAGAATATATTTATAAATTTTGTATTTTATACCCACATTATGTACAAACTTTAAAAATAGTACAACCCATCAAGTTCCTTGTAGTAACTATTGGTTATAATCAACTTGTTTTCTTTTTTATTCCTTTGAATAGCAAATACATTTTATAGTTTATAGCTTGCCCAAGAGATCATGGTAGCAAAGTTCATTGGGACGTGGGTTCTAAAGAATCTAGTTCGGAACGTTGTGGTTCAATTCCTACTTGGGTTAGTTAATATTTATTTTTTGGCGGCTCCAGGAAATGAATTTTATCATTTTCACTCCAGTAAGTCAACACCACAAGGCCCTCTCTAGAAACAGCACAAGCAGTAACAGTTCCCAAGATTAGTTGATGACAGTCACTTGATAGAGACAATCTGGAAACATCGGTGACCATTTTGTTTCAGAGTGTCCCTATAATTGAATAGTTTTTTGTTTTTACTTCAATTAAATCACAATTATTGCATCAAATTAACTAGAAAGGTTAGAAAGACTAAAAAGACTGGTGTTCTTCAAGTTGTATGAGGCAAATGAATCATTTAAACCTGCAAAAATGAAATAAGAGAAAATTTTACTAAACATATTTTATATGTTATATAAACCTTGGTCTCTTGCAATTTTCAATTATTTATTTAGTTCTACCGTCAGTAAATTCCTCCATAAAACTATATCACTAATTAAAAAAATTAAATAAAAAGGCTTCAACACTAAATTTTATTTGAATTCCATTTATAAATTTAAGGGAAAAACACCTAATCAATGCAAAGCCAGCAATCATAACAAACTGTTTATTTCCTTCCTCCCTTAAAAGAAACATAACTAATTCAAAATTCGATTATCAGCCGCATTTTGATTAATCGTAATGAAAATGATATTTGGGTTTTTGAGATAGTTCAACTCTTACCAAAATATCTTTTCTTTAACAAATAAAAAGGTTTATGGATCAATGAGATTCTCGAAACATAGAAATAAATTATATTTGCATTTACATTTTCAAGGAAAGAAATTTGTAGATATTATAAGAAACCTATAATTGTAGATATAATTAAATGTTCATAGCTCATAGTTATGAGTGATTTTAAATGGAAGGAACTTTTTAATATTCAAATATCTTTTAAAGTAGAATAATATAAAGGCGTTGTGTGGGATCTATGTTAGAAATAATCGAAAAAACAATACGTTGACAACCACACTGATAAAGCCTGTAAGTATAACTTTATTAGAAAGTTTAGTTGTGAGCTTTTCTTGGCAATCTTGGTCTCGGGCATATTCACAGAAACCAAAAACATTATATCTTTGTCTCATTCTTACAGTGAAAATTGAACAAAAAATCGAATTCATAAAATAAAAAATAAATGTTTTATTGTTTTATCAATAATTTTAGTTTTTTCCCATAAGGCTTTTACAACTTGGACATCAATAAGAGAATAATGCTTTCCTGCAGAATCACCATTCCAGTGTATTGTTAGTTTAATATGACAGTTCACTGATAGGAATCATCATCATTATAATAGCTGTCACTCCCAACTAGGATCACCACTTTATACCTGATGTAGCGTATATGATTGTATACTGACCAATATTGACAAGATAGCTAATGTCATTTTCATTTTGTAGTACAGTTTACACTGTGCTTGTGGGTGTGGCAGTTGCTATTATGACAGTGAATAAGACAGTTTCTCACGTCTTTGACTATTGCAACCTAAAATGGCTTTCAAATCTGTAACAATTGCTATTACGATGTAACTATTTTCATATAAACAAGATTTAATATTTAAAAAATAATTTTTGTTATAAACGAAGACTTATTTTTACTATATTTTTACTATCACTTACCTATTTACGCAATATATAGTAAGGGTAAGTATTGCAATTGTGAAAATTTTTGAGTCTGAGTTTTCAACGGAAATATATGTTTTGAGAGCAAAATGATCCGTGTGTGTGTGTGTGTGTGTGTGTATGTTATCAGTCTAGCTCAAAAACGAAAAGTCATAAGAAAGTGAAATTGCATATTTAAGGTTATTATAAGCTTTGGATTTTACAGTAACAATTTCGTCAAAATCAGAAAATCGGAAGTGCCACTTTATATAATCAATTTAACATATTTTTACGATTTTCTCAAAAACGGCTCTAACGATTTTGATTAAACTCAACTAAGCAGTTTTTAATATAATGTAGGATTTTTTCTCATTTATTTTCTCTATCAGGGCTTAAATAGCTAATTTTCAATATTGGCTTTCTCTAAAGTATCTTTATTTTTTTTATTTGAAATAATTAACCATTTCACATTAATATTGGATATAAAAAATAGTTAAATATAAAATATGTAAGAATTTGATAATTAACTAAAGGAGAAATAAGATATTATAACGGATAATAATTGTAGTTGAGGAATCAAAGGAATACGAGCTTGCCCAAGCTCACCCGAGGCCGCCCGAATGATTACAACGGACTTCCACATCTAACATGAGCTTCATAAAATACGGACGCCGACAATATTATATTCATATATATATGCGATTTTCACAAATGCTATCATTGGTATTATTTAATATTTAATTGTATAGAATACAGCGATATAAAAATTAAAATTTGTATATATAAGGGTATCTAACAAATAAAAATACCCACAATGAATCATAAATAAATATCAATAAATTTTACTTTCACTTCCCTTTTGTCTGAAAATACTTTTGTCTGTTAAGAAGAGGTGGTAAGTGAGTCGTGTGATGCGCGCACTAGATTTTTTTAAATAATCTTTTATCTAATGAATTATATTCAGTTAAAATAATATTGTTAATAAATCATTAGTTTTTCATTAAAACTTATTGAAATTGAAAAATAAAAAATAATTAATATGAATAATTGTTACTGCATTAATGTGAATGGAGTGATAAATACAGTTGTTAATATAATTTAATGCTGATAAAATTTAATAAATTCGAAGAACAATGCACATAAGTAAGTATATCTTTTCCAAAAGATTATAAGATTGAACATCACTTTTGAGAATTAGACAGACATAGATTTAATATATCATTCAGTAGCTCTAAACATTCAAATAATTTACTGAATATCTTATTGATTAATTCAATTAAATAAAATTTATTGATACTATATTTTATAAAGTTTAAAATCTTAATCTACTAGTGCTGCACCCAATGAGCTAGTTTTGAAGTACAAGCCCACTATTAATTCCAAATTCTGGCTTATCCCCTATTTATATATTATTTATACATAACTATATTCATCTTGTTAAAATAAATAATTTGTTCTAAATATAATACCAATTAGTTGGTTATTAAATGTATTTACTTCAGTACTATTTCCTGCTTATAACTTAAAGTTTCTTTACTAATTATATTGTAAAATTTGAGACATTTTTAAAATTAAGAATGAAAATTGATTTTATAACATAGAATTAACAAAGATCTTTCTTTGAACCTTAACCATACTCCAGATTTTCAAAATTTTAATATAAGTTTTTAAAAAATTAATAACATGTTCTAAAAGATTGAATGCAATGAATTAGCATCAACATGATTTACTTCTTTATATAATATTACAATTTTAAATCTATACTGTTAAATTAAATAGTAATTATTTTCTAGAAGTCGTGTAACAGAATAAATAATCAGTTGTCAAATGAAGAATGAAAAAATATTAAAACAAACTTTGTTCTATCAATGAAACTATTATAGTTATTACTGAGATAAAAACATAAAAATTCTATTTAGTTAGATTAGTTGAATATTTTTCAAGGCCACTTAATATACTTATATATGGTATCTACAACGATAGATAAGCCCTTATAATTTTACTATTTATTCTCAACTTATAACAATGTTTCAAGCTACTTTTCTCATTTTCAAGTTATTAGAAATGAAAAAAAAGTCCATAAATTGCTACATATTTTCATTACATGATTCTATTTATTTTCAGTCCACAAATATAAAAACGACTATGTTCCTTTTATTTTATTCCTATTATTTTATTCACATTTTGTCTAATGCTTGTCAATTCCCGAACCCAGTACTACCTCCTCCTTCTATTGTTTAACATGGACTGCATGTTCTAGAATTCTCTCCATGTTAAACAATAGAGTGGTACTGGTGGACAAACTACGGCATGTGTATCACATGGTCCTTTTTGCCAACCCCTGATGGCTACCTTAAGGTTGCCGCCGCGTACTTACCATAGTGGGAATGTCAAGATACATTTCCTGTGGCTACTGAAAAATGAAAATTAACTGGACCAGGTGGAAATTGAATCGGACAACAACATTCAAACCGGGCACTCTGCGACCCATGCCCTAAGATGCTTGGCAATCCCCTTCTCTGTTGTTATAGTTAGAATTTATTTTCTATATACTTCAGCTGAGTTCTCTTGTAATAGATGGACGTGGTTGATACACTATATTGTAATTTTTTTTTTTCATATAATCTGATTTATATACTCTTGGATGATCAATTTTCATCAGACTTTCTTAATAGAATCATTAGTTTTTCATTAAAACTTATTAAAATTGAAAAATAAAAAATAAAAAAATAATTAATATGAATAGCTGTTACTGCATTAATGTGAATGGAGTGATAAATACAGTTGTTAATATAATTTAATGCTGATAAAATTTAATAAATTCGAAGAACAATGCACATAAGTATATCTTTTCCAAAAGATTATAAGATTGAACATCACTTTTGAGAATTAGACAGACATAGATTTAATATATCATTAAGTAGTTCTTATAATATAATGAAATCATAATGTGCTACAGTAAATAGACTTTTCAGATATATGTTATATTAAAAGATCTGATTGCGCCTGCTCCTATTATTGTTTTTAAACTTGAATACATCCACATTACAAGAAGGTTGAGAATCCCTTTTCTAGAACATAGATATCTTTACCTCTCGGTAAAACAACCAAGGTTAAATAAAAATGCTAAATTGTTAAAAACAATGTTCTAGTCCTATGAGGTATAGAATTAATACTTATTCTAATAAAAAAATAGGTCCTATCAAAATATTCCTATATAAATACATTATCTATACATGTAAAATAGAAATGGGTTTAATTGGGTATATTAGATTCATGTTAAAACATATTGGAATAACTACTCGTAAAAATAATCCTACCATAAAAGCAATAACATAAAAATCCAGTTATTACATATTGAATATTATTAAAACAAATTTGAGCTTTCATTTAATTCATGATTGGCTTTTTATGTATACAGTTAAACTGTTTTTTATTTGTTTATGTAAAATGATTTTAACTATTCTAAATTTCTAAGTAAATTCTGTTTCTGATATTAAATAAACTTTTTTAATTTATTAATAAATTTTTTGAAAATAATACTCACTAAAATGAATTATAATCCAAGAAAAATGTCTCTCAACACTCTGATTCTTGCAATTTTTGAAGCAATTCAGTTTAATATTTATTAGTTTTATTTCATATACATGTAAGTTTAAACATATAAATGTACTATGGCTTCAAATGTAAATTGTTTGAAACATAAAAAAAAATCAACAAGCAACTGTCACATGGACTTAAAAAATGTAATTTGATTATATTCTCTAATTTTCAGATATTGATATTAGGCATGAAGGTGGTTGTAACGTAGATGAAGTTTATCAACTTTACCCATCCAGAGAAAAAGTATGCACTATATCTAAACATCATTATGAATTCAACCAAGTATGCGGAAGTGACGATTTGACCTACTTGAACCCTTTTGTATTCCTTTGTTACAGTCCTTGTAAGTACTCATGTATAATAAATATATCATATATTATCAATAATATATATGTATGACTTAATATTCTAAAATTTATATACATATATTTAAAATATATCTAAAAATTTGGTTATTATGTTTAAACCATACTATAAGTTTGAACTATTGACATGAGATATGATATTTCAATTAATTTTATCTACATTACATATTTATGACACCGATCATAAGGATACAGCATTGGTAAAATATTTTTTAACACTGATATTATTATGTGATTTAGCTGTTCAATATAGTCCCGATGATACCTAAAATGGCGAACTCTTTGAGAGATTAAATGCTTTGCTTTGAAATCTTATAACAGTTACTTTTTTAAAAAAAATATATACTTTAAAGCATATTATATGATTATATAATCATATATTTAGCAAGAAGGCTTATCACTTGTTTTATATTAAATAATAAATTTATGGCATTTTTTTTAAAGCAATTTTTTCAATTGAGTAGTTTAGAATTTTTATCAAAGCAATAATAATGTTAGATTAGATTAGATTATTTAAATTATAACTTAAAACTACTAGAGTTACTATAATTGAGACATCAACATGAAACATTTATGTTAGACTGGATAGAAGTAGAAATAGAAAATAAAAAAAACAATATCTTTAGTATTGATTAATAAAATAAATGAAAAAATAATAAGACAATTATGAATATGTGAGTAAAAAATTATTAAAGTTGAATTGGAAAAAATGAACTAAATTCGCTAATAAATTAGAAATGGACACCTTACAGAGCATCTGCTTGAAATTTTGAAACAATTAAATATAAGTATTTAAATTGATGCTTTAAGTATAAAGGATTATACAAGTTTTCTTCATGTGATGCACAATTCTGATAATTCTTGATTCTAAGAAGATCCAAAGGTTCAAAATATTTTTCAAAACCTTAGCTAACTATTTGATATTCAATGAAAAATGCCCAAATTAGAGCCTGTAAACATGCTGTTCCAGACCTGAATGAGAAGCTAAGTAAACGCAGCAATTCTATTCACTGTGATGCTTCAATCATAGGTTAGAACGGAGCCAGTTAGACCTTGCTTTGTCCCAATAGAATCATTTGAATGAGAATAAATACATTTTAAGCTCTTGCCCCGATACTGAAAAACAATGTTTGGAGAATCTTAAGTGGTAGCTAGAACAAGTTCTTTAAATAGGCTATTGTTTAGTTACATTTTAAACGATGTTTCCTCATCTTAGAGCTGGTCTTTTTATTAATGATAAATAATTTCATGACATGTTAAAATTCAATGGAAAGTAATTTCATAAGGAATTACTGAAAATAATGATGATTTAAATACTAAATGATAACAGACCCTCTTACATAAACCTATGAGAATAAAAATTGGTGTTTAAAACAAATTAAGATAATAACTCCAAAATGCAGGTATTAATTTTGGTCCAATTAGAAATTTTGGTCAGCTCTTTCCTTGTTGGATTATTTAAAACATAAAAATTAACAAAAGCTTATTTTATTAAAATTTCACTCTTAATCTATCAAGTTTAGTTTTATCTTTTGAAAAAATATCTTCGACAAAAGATATATTAAATAACTTTAATGATCCATTATTGATAATATGAAGCGATGGAATGAAGCTGATATAATATTTTTAAACAAGATAAAATTAAAGCATTTGTATAAGGCGCCAGGTGGATTACTTAAATATTTAATCATATCAGCTAAATTATTTTTAGCCCAATAAAAAAAAATAATCCTTCAATTAGATCTATCAAAACAAATTGTAGATTGTTAATAGTGTTTATGGAGTCATTGTTTTTACCTAAACATCCAAAACTATAATGATTTTTTCTAATTTGAAAAAATATTTGTTTCTATAAGTTACAAAGATACAATTTCTAGAACCCTATTAACATCTGTATAAATATTTGCTGTAATAAATAAGAAAGCTTAAGTTTTTAAATAGTTACAAGCTTAATTTCTTTTTTTTTTTGTTAGATTAATATCCATAATATTAAAATAAACTTGTCCCAAACCAGCAATCTTTTTTTATTAATTGATAAAAATATACTTCTTGTTTTTTATTCTTCCAATGAATATTTTCTAATTTTATTTATCGACCTATACATAATACCATGGGACCTAATGGTAATAAGTTGAAGAAAGGAATTTTAAAACACATCAACAGTTTTAAAATATTGAATGTTTAGAAAGTACTAAAAGTTCTTTAAAAGAGATAATAGATCACTGATTTTTCCAACAGACCTGAATAATTTCTTATTTTCAGCCTTGGAGATTTTACATTCTAACAAGATGTTTTATTTAATAAATAGTGATTATATTCACCGATATTTTATTAATATCACTTCCAAACCTAATTTTTTATTTAATGCAGAAATTATCAAAAATATAAATTATAAATTTTCTTTAAAATAAGATTAGGGATGTTATGACGAAATACTTCATTGCTGATCAGCAATTAGATGTATTTATAAATACTAACAACATAAATAATGAATATAAATTCTTCTTTTTTCTGGGAAGTTGTCTAATGTTCTTAGTTATTTGGCAATAATTACTTCCAATTGGTAACAATTAAATATATTTCATATATTATCAACGTTACATGTTAACAAGTTGACGTTTCGGGATATTTACTCCCATCTTCAGAACTACAATCCCAATAATCTTGTGGATGCAAGGCTAATTTTTTTTTTTTTTTTTTGGTCAAAATATCGTGCATGTTACATTACATGTTTGAATTTAATTGTTACAATAAATTTTTAATTACCTTAAAAATAATAATAATATGCTCCATCATCAAATTTCTATTATGAATATAACTTCATTAGCAACCATACATAATACATAATGAGGCATATGCATTGGTACAGACAAATAATCCTGTAGAATCACTTCCTTATTGCCATGCTTTATGTTGAATATAGGAAGCTAAAAAAAGAGACACTTATGACATTATTCCCACCTTACAACATTTCTTTTTATCAATAAATAAGTTTCAAAATAAAACTTGTTTCATTTAAAAGAAAGAAATGAATCAAGAGGATTTTGAGATTTGCAAAATTTAAAAAAGAATAACAAATGGGAATGAGAATATTGTTAAATATGTCTGTATGAGAACTTATCTATTTTGTCTCTAATTTCCAGTGAGTGAGGCTGTGTTCAGTGGAGGAGAGTGTCACAGTTCTTCCCACAATGCTTGTATCAATGCCATCAAACTGGATGAACAATATGAGGAGTGCAAGAAGGAAGTGCAGCTCAAAGAAATGTGTGGATCTGATGGGCTTACATATAGGTCCAGTGACCATCTCCTGTGTGCTGCAAGGAACAACTCAAGTTAGTATTTCTACGATTTTCTTAATTTTCCTCTCTAAAATGCTTTTCAGTTTTCTCAAATATTAATTTTACTTTAAAACATCTGACAATCACAAAAAGACATATAAATGTACTATTTATAAATTCATGCATGGAGTAACCCTAGACCTACACTATTTTTATACTTTTCCCTTTTCTTGCCACACATTTTTTACTTTAAAAAAACGTTTTTTAAAACTTTTGTGAATTCCATATATATATATATATATATATATTCCAACGTGTTACTAATAACAAAATGTAAAATTTAATGTTTTTTAAACTTTGGTAATAATCTTTGCATAAAATGCACTGGAAGCTGTAGAAGTTTCTGAGGAAAAATTGAAACAAGTAATCTTATAGTTGGAAAACGCAAAGTGGACTGTAGTTGGAAAACGGATTTTTAACAAATGCATCAGTACACGTAATATATCTAAAAATCATAATTACTCCAATTTTTTGCTATCCAATTTTTTTAAGCTAGTTTCTTTACTAAGCTTACTTAATTCAACTTTTCTACTTGAAATCATAAGTTAATGAAGTATTCTAAACGATAGTTTAGGATAGTAGGTAATTTCTAACTAAAGGGATGAATGGTTTATACCCGATTAAATGAATACGTTAGACTCTATCTAGATAATATTGAGGAAATGCATTTTCCGAAGGTATTGTGTATGTTATGCAAGGGCATTTTAATCACAGCTGAATTAAGATATGTGAATGGAACCAAATCAAGGCCTCCTTAAAACAATACAAGTGAGACTCACAAAGAATGTTTTCTTTACTATTAACAAAAATAGGATTTGATATAAGTATATAATTTTAGCTAAGATCACAACAAAAATTATACATCAAATAATCATCGATAAGGCAATACCGTCACGAACTCCATGTTATAGAGCTTTTCAAAGTAAATTCTTACGCTGATTCTTGAATGACGAGCCCATTTTAAACAGACAATACATTTCGACTTTAGTGTGGTGAACTAAAGTTCTACATATTTCTACAAAAACTATAAATTCTAACTTAGGAAGTATATTTTTATTATCTGTTTGCAGTGTTGACCATGCTCCACGAAGGGAAATGCACAAGACATGATTCTCCATGTCTTCGTGCCAAACACGCAGAGGGACATCCAGTCTGCGGAACAGATGGGATGACCTACGCTAACCACGAGTCGCTCAACTGCGTCGCTAGAAACAGAGATAACAGTAAATATACACTGAATTATTGTTAAAATAATAAATAACTAAACATAGGAAACAAAATAATAATTTAGTTAGTATGTATATTAATATATATATGTGTATATATTTATATATATATATATATATATATATATATATATATATATATATATATACACATGCATAGTGTTCTATAAGTGGAGGCAAATATTAAAAGATTGATAGTGAACATCAAGATCTACAAAAAAAGTTCATATAAATAATTGTTCAATTTCCCGCCGAAAAGTAGGAAATTTAAGATTTGTGTTTTTCTGAGCGAGTCGCGTTTTTTGTTGAACAGTAACTGATAAATTAAAAAATATTTGATTTAAATAACTTAACATTGCTCCATAGTAAACTAGAAAAAATAAAACTTTAAACGAAAGCAGAGTTTTTCAATGTTAAAACTATTTAAACTAGAGGAATATTGGGCAGACAAACACAAAAAATGTGATGACTTCAGAACGGCTCTACTGATCCACAAAAAAATTATTAACCAATTTAACAGATATAGGCAATGGTATAAATATATCTGCCCAAAAATTTTTTCGAAATTAAAAATAGTTATTTGTTATTGTGTTGCCTTAATAAGTCTATAGATGCCCTTCTCTCCACCGATAGCGGAAGCCCCAAAATTTATCAAGTTTTAAAATATATACTGTAATGGCTGTAACTGATAAACCTTGAAAATAAATAAAATATATATTTATATATATTTTATATATATATAAATATTATATATTTATTTTTATATATATAAAAAAAATTAACTATATATACATGAAATCAGTGATAAAAATTAGTCTTCAGTTATTATATTCGAAATTCTGTGTATATTCGAAGGGTATTTTGGTATTTTTTTTTTTTTTTTTTTACTTCTAGACTTAAAAGATTTTCAGTCGGCGCCAGCTTGTAGTATATGCAGGTATAGATATATAATCAAGAGTTCTCATAATTCGAAAGAAGTGATTAGTGCTTAAATTTTAATAAGTTGATTATATTTTATTGGGATTCTGCCAAATTGCTTAGTCAAAGTAACAAGAACAAATTGTATAGCCAACGTTTCGGCTCGCTTTTGTGGGCTATCTTCAGTGATGATTGGACAGAACAGCTCTGACTGATTGATCCAATGCAAAAAAATAAACATTTTTAAGAATTCGCAAGGAAATTTTCTTAATCCAAAACTTCCTGTTTCAGATCTGAAATACCATCACGACGGACCATGCATATGTAGAAAGAATCGTCACTACGAAATTCCAGTAGCTGGCCTCTTGGAGAAGAAATCATAAATTAATTAATTAATTATTATAAGAAAGTTATTTCCGAAGTATGACATTTATGATTTTCATACTTTGAAATAAACGAATCTATCACGAATGTTATGTTGTATTACTCCTGGTATGCTAATTTACTTCCAAATGTCGAAATGTCCAACGCAATTTTATTCGTCAGATTATGGACGCAATACAACTATGAAGTATTCTGTCCACGATTTCATAGTAATTGTAAGTAGTCGTAGCATTTTGCATTGTCATCAAACGACCTGCACAATTCAATCTTCAATGACTTTTAGTTCATAACGTGTCCGCTTTTAGTCAAATTGGTTCAAGAGTTTGTTGTTAAAACTTAATTTGGATATTTAATTAATTAATTAAATATATTTATTTTTCTTCATTATTAACCTTGTGAAAGAAAAAATAATTTAATCATTTCATAATTTTCTTGGGATATCAATATTTCTTCAGCATAACCTGATATATTAAGGACATTTCAGGTTTTATGAATTAAACTTATAAGTGCAATGCTTATTAATAAAATTTCAAAGAATAATGTTTATCTTGGTAGGATTTATTAGCATTTTTTATTTATTTTAGTGTTTCAGGCACTGATGCCATTTACAATGAAGTCTCTTTAGTCACTTGCAGTTCTTTTAAACTTTATTGCATATGTCGATTGCTTTTAAAAATTTAATTATTCGTGGTCGTATCTGGAGGGTTCTGTCTCAATATTTGTACTTGGTCTGTGGAAATCTGTATAGTCGTGAGCCATACACTCTGTCAGTATGAAGTGCTGTTAGAATACAGTAGGAACATCTTGGCGGTTCTTCCTTCTTCATCAGATATCCATGATTTTTGTATTTTTAAGAAAACAAATATTGTTATAGATTGATTTCTTTTTTATAAGTATAAACTCAGAAAAACATTTGAAAGAGATTCCAGCTTTGAATAAAACTGCCATGGTGTGGAAGATCCAGTAATCGACGAAGAGCCTCAATATAGAAATATGAGTAGGGAATGTTCATTTAGTGATATCGGTGTCAAATTTTCGCGTTCGTTGAGCGTTATCAAGGAAAATGATTTTAAAATTATATAGATGTGACGATCTCGTATTAGTGAGTATTGTTGTGGAAACTATTGCCAAGTTTAAATATCATCAATAAAAAAAAATCCTAATAAAAGATTACTTCCATCTCATGAAAGAATTGAATAATTCGTGCATCAACAATAAAATTCTAGCAATTAAGTAATAATTGAATAATGACCGACTTAGTTAACAAAATTCTACTTAATTGAATTTCCGCTTCTAACGATTATAACACACATTATATCTATTATGGACACTACTCAACATCCGAGAATCCTTCGAAATGAAGAAATGATTCGAAAATATAAAAACGAGTTCTTAAAAACATCATTGTGTAGAGAATTTAAAAAAAAACATGTAATAATCCTTAGATTTAATTATTTGATGTAAGATTATTTACTGCTTCGCAGCCAACGGTCAAACACGATAAATTTTTCCACATATCCAAAGAAGTGCACTTATCTTAATTATAAAGAGCTTTATTGCCCAGTATTGGAACGAGGTTCACAGAAAGTTTTTTTTTTCATGATTCAAATTGAACATTCATAATCATCAGAAACTGTCCGAGTTGAACTTATAAAACTAAAATAAAAAATTAATATAAAGAACGTATAATAGTATTGACCTACATAAGGAGAATCATATAATTTCTTCAAATGATAATTTCAATTACTGTAGAAATTATAAAATTTTCGATTAATCAATAAAAAAAAATGGCCTTTTCTGAAGAGAAAGCAATAGATGTTTAAAACTCAATAACTCTGCAACGAACCGTCCGATTTCGATGGGTTTTTTTTTTTATTCTGTCGGCAAGTCAAGAATCTTTCAAATAAATGTGGGTATTATCAGGAAACAATTCTGTACTTTTTTAGTTATCGTCAAATAAAATATTGAATTCATCGTAACATTTTTCAGCTTGTTTTCGGGAAAGTATGTTATACACATAAATGAAAAGGGTTTCAAGGGGAAGACTTTAGCCAAGTTTCGTAAAGCCGTTTTGGCGCTACAGCTTATAGGGACACATTTTTTTGCGGCTTTGAACAGAAAAACATTTACATATTTATTTTTTTACATATATAAAATTATCGTAAGACAGAAATACTATGCCAGAAACATTCCCAGGAGTGAACGGAACAACATACCAAAGTTTCATGGCAATCGAATGAATGGTTTAGTAATGCACAAAGGACAAACAGACAGACAGACAGACATACATTCATTTATATATATATATATATATATATATATATATATATATATATATATATATAGATTTGTTGATAATTGCATAATTGATGGATTAATCAAATCTAGATTAAATTGAAGATGAAATTTCAGATTACAATAGTCGATTTTTTTTTAATGAACAATTAACACCTATCAATGCCATAAATTCAGTTATTGAGTTCTTTTGACATGGATTTATTTTAATTTCCCAGTATTTCAACTTCCCTTCTGATCTCTTTTAAACTTATGAACATTGCACTCAGTTTCGATTTCAGTTTGTTTTTGTTTTTTCTTTACAAGCTGTAGTATTTATTATTATTTTCAAAGCCATAAGTAAGTTGATCGTTTTATTAAAAATTATAATCTTGGATCGACCCATTAATACCAAAGATGAAACTTTGAAACAAACAGATAATATGAAGTGCTTATAAATTTTTCCACATCCCATCTGTTGATAATCAAATCATTTCTTTCATGTTTCATTTATGTAGTTTATAAAAAAATATTTTATTTCGATGTTTTAGTTATTCTATTGCATGTTTATAGATTTTTACCATACTTTTTCTATTTAAAAAACATAAAAGCTCGGAGAAGTGTTCTTTCTACCTTTGTTTCATATTATATGTGAAATGATATTAGGTTAGAATTGGTGATTAATTAAATAACATTTAATTACTAACGTCTCAGAGAATAGGAATCCTCTTTGTCCGACACCATCTTATTGAGTGCTGAGCATTTACTGTCAGCACCAGTTCCGTAATATAGATATTACGTAACTGGTTAGCGGCTTAAGTTAATTGAATGTTTGCTGCATATTTGATGTTTTTAATTGCATGTTATTTAGGATATTCTGTAGGTTATTACTGCATAAAAATGCCGGATCTGCCTAACATCTTTATCCTGTCGATCCTTCAGTTATAATTCATATCTTTTATTATGAAAATACAATCTGAAAACCGCGGAATTACGAAACTCCAGGAGTGGGCAGCCCATTACATCACCCCTCGTAAACAAAACAGTTCCTTTCCAGTTCACTTCCATAGCTCACCTTGGAGCTATCAGCATGACTACTTCATAGCTTCATTATTATTCTTAAGCGGGCAATTTAGTAGGCGCTTAAGATGCAAGTTAGGTGCAAGGTAAGCGTGTCAGGGTCCTTGATGAGCTGCTGCTCAGGCAATAACTGCATTGCTAAGAAGAGCACGAATGTTTGTTAACTCTGCGAAAGTTGTAGTGCGTCGTTGCTGGGACTAATTATAGAGCGAGAGGGCTCGCCACTCTATTTGTGCTCTGTCTATTTTATAAAGGTCCGGTTCACGCCTACTAACGTCTTGGCCGCAACGCCATTACACGTGGAGCTAAATGAATCAGCAGGTTTGGAATCGAAAAAACAAAAATAGCAAAGATATAATTTCAATTTTAAAGGAAGTGCACGACCAGAGCTGATCGAGTGATTTAGTTGTTAGGCACCTCTCATTAGAGTGAGAACATCAAGGATATTCCGCAACAATGATTCACCGTTATTATGAAACTAACGAGCTTTATATTTTTTTATTTAACATTTTAAAAAACACTGAAAAAGCTACTGAATAATACTATCAAAACTATGAAGCCATGAGTCTCTAGCATACAAGTTAACTTGCCAATGTTTTCCCAATTCAGCCATCAAAATGGCAGAAACAACAAGATGATATATATGCAGAAAGAGAGAATGAGATAAAAGAAATAAATAAACGAGAAAAAAACATAAAAAACATTTGCTGTTGATATCTCACCAACCCATCCAAAAACATATGAAGAAAGCAGGAGATGAAGGTTATATAAAACAGCTGATTAGGAGTGGTTTAGAAAAAATACTTATACTTCATATATTATAATACAAAAATGCGTTAATAAAATATAAAAAAAAGAAGAAGAAATTAAAAAATACAAAAAAAAAGCTCGAAGATATATTAAAAACAAAACTTACATACCCTACACGGCTAATCCGAACGGATAATATTACTAAAATAAGCAAAAAGAGACATGATAACAAAAAGAGACAACCTAAACTATAAAGCCATGACCTTCTTGTTTTCTTCAGTATGTTTTTGTATAGCTTGATGAGATATCAATAGCATTTTTTTTTCTGCATATGTGTGATGTTCATTTTATTTTCCTGATGATGCCTGAATTGGCGAAACGTTGACAACGTAACTGTTCACATGTATGCTAGAGACTCATAGCTTAATAGTTAGGATTAAAAAAAATAATACAATGTTTGTTGTCATTTATGAAATTATAATAAAGTATGTTAGCTCACATAAAATTATGCTTCAGCATATTTCACCTCATAGCATATTACAAATATGCAAAATTCTCATTATATACATGGTCATTTCGTTCTTTGCTTGGACCAGCTTCAGGTAACCGATGTGAAAGAACAACCGGAAATATCATAAGAGGGATATTTCAACTATTATAGATAAAAAAATACATACATATATATATATATATATATATATATATATATATATATATATATATATATATATATATATATATATATATATATATATATATAAAGAGAGAGAGAGAGAGAGAGAGAGTCTAATAATAACTAGTGCTTCTTTCATTTATAAGTATTATGTATTTCATTTATGTTTTTGTTATTGTTTTTAAAAAAAATTTTTTAATAATATAAATTTTTTTTCACATT